GGCCACAGCTCTAGATTGCTGTGGATGGTGTGACGGGCCATCAGGCACCATCTCATTTGCCACCCCACGGATACCCCCCTCCCCCCTCGAATCTAGTTTAAAGCCCTCGTGATGAGCCCAGCTAGCTCCTGCCCCAGGGCCCTCTTCCCCCTTTGAGAAAGGTGGACCCCATTGGGTGCCATCATGCCTGGTGCCATGTAAGACCTCCTGTTACCAAAGAAGCCAAAGTTATGGCGATGACACCAGTCACGGAGCCACATGTTAATAGACTTTACTTTTACTCTTACCTGGAAATCATATTGATTCGTAGCAATTTCCAGAAAGTACATAGTACATCTGCACACTTCAGTGCTCAAAGATACAAGACCATCTGTTCTTCCCAGAAAAGATGGTCTAATAATTATCTCTGAGGTTTTCTGTCTGCCTATAGTAGCTGGGCCCTTTGAGCTTGCACCTTGGAGAGTGGTGACAGGCTACTATACTTACAGGGAAATTGTAAATAGTGTAAATTTCTAGCTTGTTTTGCTTGAACAAATCTTATGCAATTATACCGTGCCTTTGTCAGTCCTCTCCTTAATTCATAACTTTGGAACCTGCTAGCTAAATTCAGCCAAATTGGAAAGTCCCAGAGATAATTAAATTCTTACAAGTTTATGTTGGAGAGAAGAGGGAGACTAAAATTAGTGCTTCTGCTGAGAAAAGTCAGGCGAAGCTCAGCTGTTTTACATTTTTCTTCACAGCAGTCAGCACTGGCCGACCAATGAGCACCTGAGTATGAGGAAATTCTGCCTGCCTCTGCGTTAGCAGCAGCATGTGCTGCATCTTCTCCAAGAAACAGGGATGGAAGAAAGCCGTCATAGGGACATCTGAATTATTGCAGTGAAGAGGAATGAAGTCAGCAGACAAAGGACACAAATCCAGTGGAAAAGTTTTCATATATTCAAGAGCTTGTGGAATCATTTATTATATCTTCTTTTTACTCTCTGCTAACCTATGTGAGGGTAATCACATGAAAGACAAAAAGCTTCCTCGACATACTACTGATCTCACACCGCCTGCCTCCCAGGCACGTAACTGGCAACAAAAGCTTACACTCTGTACACATATAATAATATGCAGCATTTCAAAGAGAAAAAGAGTGTGAGAGAATAATTTTTCTTTTCTCCCCTCAAATTTGTACTAACATCAGCAGAAAACTCCACCTGCTATGTGCTACTTCCCATACCAATGTGTCGTCCTAGGTTTGCTTGGCCAGAGGACACAGAGCAGTGTTTGAACTGCCTGCATGATCGAGCATCTCCCTTCGTGTCTTGATGAAATAAGAAACAGGGTAATGTCATCTCCAAAGGCGTTAAGTCTGATTTTAATTTTAATAATCAAAAACGGGCTAGTGGTTCTCAATTTTTGACAAGAAAAATATTGCCCCCTTCAAAGACTTTTTTGTGTAGGCACTTGAGAATTCTAGCTCTATACATAACTCTGCCAATTGAAAAAAAATACTGTAAAAGCTACTCAAGCTTTCCTTTTTCAATATTTTTTTAAACTTGACTTTAAACTACCTTGTAACCACCTCAAGTTAAGAGTACAAGAATGAGGAAAACTGGAGAAGTCCTCAGATGTCTGTACTCTCTTGCTTCTCTCTATCTATTGTAATTAAGTCCTGACTAATAAAAGATACAGAAAAGTTTTCATGTAAGGTAATAACAGTGTTACTCAAGTAACACTGGGCATAAGATACAGGAGATTTATGGAAAGACAGGTATATTTAGAAGGAAGAAGTCAAAGGTGAGGAAAAAAAAGCAACAAAATTCCATAAGGTGCCCTACTGTTTGAAGCAGGGAACTAGAAGAAACAAGAAAAGATTTTTCTTTGTCAGATGATGGAACGAAAAGAGACCACTTGAATAAAGTGTTCTGTGAGTGAAAACGAGTACTTACTCTGCTTTTGACATCCTTTAGTTTGGGAAGTATTTCCAAACCAAATCCATCAGCTTGACCTCGGGTCCGGTTTCCACCATTCATATAATTTCCAAAAGCTAGAATCAAACCTAAAATTTCTTTTACGCTTGTCATGTTCAGCAAAGCCTGGAAAATGGATATAAGCTTGTAACTTCAGACATTACAAAAATATTCTTATTTTTCTTCATCAAAATGCAAATGATAAAAGCATATTTCTCTAGTTTCCCTAAAGCTTCTTTAATTTCTGTTGTCCCTCCTACCTGTGCAATTCTGATCTGAGGCCCACAGGCTGCAAAAATGGCTGAGTGCAGTTTGATAAAGAATCAATAGTTTTCACAAACAGAACACCAAAACAGAACTAGTGTTTTAGAGTATCATCTTTAAGAATAAACAAGCTTACACCAAGGAAGTGCTTGTCTTCTCTCTTACAGTTTAAAGCTTTCTTTTGAAACTATCTAATTATTCTCTTTATGTTCAACATGTAATGTTGAACCCTGTACAATGCCTTTATTAAATACCCTTTGAAAAGCACATCGTCATGTTTAAAAAAACGTGCATCAATTTGAGAGATTGGTGGGAAATTAAATTTGGAAATTCTTATGACTTAAAATTTAGAGTAATTTGAGGCTTAAATAAAGAATTTCATGCTTTAACTGGTGCAGGTCCCAATCTGCCTAAATAGTATCTTTCATTCACTCTATACAAAGCAAATGGTGTAGCATCACATACTATATAGACAACAAAAAGGTGAATGCAGCAAGTTTTATTGAAGGAGATTACTTGACATTCACAGTAACCTTTAAAAATCAGAATGAAGAGGTGGTTTAACAGGAGTTTGCATAATGCATAAAGGGATGATGAGCACTTTGGCCATGGGCCAGATTCAGAGTATCCTATTCAATTTGTTTCTCATTGCTCCTGGTGCTTTGGGAATTAACATTTCTTAGTCCACACTTAGTGCAGATATATCAGGGTTAAGAACTAAATTACTGTGCATCAAAAGATGACAGAAGAAATCTAGAAGCTCAGTGGAAAATTAAAGAATTATTTAAATTCCATATGAAGTCATCTGTCTGCCAAACCCAGATTCTGAGGCTGTAGGTCTAATTCTCAATTACAGTTAAAGCAAGTTTATATCACACTGAAAATGAAGATGAATCTTGAAGTTACTATCAAGACATTTTGGGATTGCTTGTTATTTTTACAAATTTAGCTTTCATTTATTGGCACAATCAATCATCATGTGAGCTCCTCATGAATAAACTGAAAGTAATATCTCTCTCCTTAACCCATACAAATTGATTAATTATTCATGTCTCCTTTTGAAAGTAAGAACTAAATAATTATTCTTACTGTAAGAATAAGGAAAGAAAATCAAAAGGATACAACATGGATAGAATGTGTCAGCAAAGCAGTTCAAAAGAGTTTTGCACATGGCAAAGCAAAAATTTTAAAATTCTGTCCTATCCAGTAATTAAGAAATTTCATCATTATCAGTTAAAGCCAATAATCACTTAGAATTAAAAGAAAAAATAAATCTATGTATGCCTTCAGTTTGTTGTTTAGTTTCTATAAGCACATACCTTGGAAACTCGAGTTATGATATCAACTTTCCTGTGCACTGATGTTATCCCTTCAGAGAAGACTGACTGGAAGATAATGCACTGGGCCCGTTCTGCAAAGTTGGGGATCTGAGATAACTCATATAAGAATCTGTAAAACGAAGTATAAACAAGTTTTTATATTTCATATCTGTTGGGCACATAATGAATCAAAGCAGATGTGCCCAGCAATGTGGCACTCAATGTATTAAGTCATAAAAAGTCTGCCCAAAAATTGTTCCGATGCTCAGCTTCAGTTTTCTTCTACTGATTTGCATCACACTCACAATTTTGCAGTAATGCAAAATTATCTTTAAGATATTTGCAAATTCAGTAACTGGTCTGCAACGTTACTAACTTACTTCATTCTCACATGGTCATGTTCCTCATGAGCCCATTCCAGCTTTTTCCTTTAAACTGCTCAGAAAATAAAGCAATAAATAGAAGTCTATTCAACAACTCCAATTTGGATACTGCAAATGAAAGTATTTTTCAAACAAAAAATAAAAAATATTCTACTTAAAAAGAGCGGAAAAATTAAAATTTCTTAGATTAGCAGTATTTATAGTATTTGTTTAATGGGTTTTGAGTCTAAGATTTCAGTGGTATGTGCTTTCATGACATCCAAAACCAGTCTTTTACTCCAATATCCCTTCAAAAACACTCTTCAAATTTGCTGTCCCAGGTGTCCTTAGATCCCATTAATGCGATGGCTCCAAGATCTGTCTCACTGAACTCAGGGAAAACTGAACCAGTTATTCTATCAGTGTGAATTATTACCATCTTTTTAAGTGATTTCAGTCAATAAATCTGATTTCTCTGAATTACTATAAAGTTTAAAACTCATATATATATTTCTCATGCTTGCCATGCTTTCCTGTATTCATAGTTAATCTCTAAAAATCTTGTCAAAATCCACCTGTGACTGGTGTGAAGAACTGCATTCTAATTGGACTCTGATATTTTTCTCCTTCTTTTTCTGCCTAGTGAGAAAATCTCTTGAGAAAGAAGGACTGACGAGGCTAGGCTTGGCTCTGGTACTTACGCAGTGGGAAAGAGAGAAATGCCAAGCTGGTATTAATAAAAATGCTTCCTATTGGGAATGAATGGTATTGCCAGGAAACAAGAGGATACTTTGCACTTTGTGTGAGTGAAACAAAAGAAAGAAAAAAAAACTGCCTCACAATAGCTCTAATGTACATACATTTTCAAAGTTTAATTTTAAAAATCCAAGTGACACATTTTATTGCCCTCTCTTGGAAAGAGAACTATCGTGTACACTTCTGGTCATCAGGATACAAGATAATTGTGCTGACAGTTAAAAGAAATTCAGCAATAAAGGAAAATATCTCCAGATTTTGGAGTTCAAAGTATGCAATGTAAATATTCAGATAGAACATTTATAACTGAAATCTGTCACAGAAAGGAATCTTATTGACTACAACTGGAGCTATTAGGCAGAAAGTCATAGCATCTATCTTGTTATCAAAGATAGTCATATTCCAGTAAAAACATGCTAGAACAAGCTTTGGAGAGAAAAGAATATTTGAGTTCTGGCATTTTTGCAGTCATATACTGAGAAAAGTATGATTTAGATGTAAAGTAATAATGAGAAGAATTTGACATAACATCACTTTTTGATGGGTTTCTCATTGCTATACTTTTCAAGGCCTAAAGTAAACACAGAATTTGCTGTTCATCTGTGTGAGGTCCATTTTACTCCTCTCCTGCAGAAATTGTAAATAAAAGTGCATTTACTGGAGAACTCTTTTATCCTACCAGAATCTTCTGAGAGAGGACTTCTGAGTATTTTCAAATCAGGCATATGTCCATGATGTTTGTATAACAGTGAGAACATATTCAGGAGATGGACAAGGAAAGCTGATTCTCTGAAGGTAAACAACTTTCCCATTCACATTTATCAAATTTGGAAAGCAAATGACACTGCTTGGATAGAAAGTCCTATTTTATTTGCAAATATCAACAGCCCTGTTCTTCCTGAATTCCAACTACATACAGTACAAAGAAGCTCAGTACTGTATTTTGTTACAATTCCCTTCATTAGTAGTGTCACTTTCATAGTGGCAAGAACTTCACAGAAATTATTTTACAGCTAAAACTCACTTCTTGGAAAGTAGGTTAAGCATCTGCATTCTGCTAGTAAAAACCAAAGTTGGGGACAATTTTGTGTATAAAGCTTTAAGTGTTAACAAATATTAGCATCTTAGTAGCTATTATCACAAAGCATGATCAAGGGTGACATTGTCATGTTGCTGTTTTCAGTTATGCAAACAAGATAGACCAGCCAAAGAAATCAGAATCATTTGCGCAGGAGAGCCTTAATGAAACCAGCAAAGCTTTCTTCTTGTTTGGAAATCCGAAACATTTTAAAAATGGCAAAGGATTTCTTTAAACTTCAGTGAATTCAAGCTAATAGTTTTGGTATATGAATGTCTATCATTAGTACAGTCAACTACTTTACAAATAGTTTTATTCTTTCATGCTTTCGTTCTGATTCTTATTAAGGAAAATATACCATGCTATGCAGCAATTAGCTTCAATCACACATACAAATATATTTTTTTGCTTTTAATCGTTTAAGGGATAACAGGAATATCACAATTCAACAAATCACCAGAACTGCATTTATTGAGGCTGACTTAGATACCAATACCACCAGCACCTGACCTACTGAGGTTTCAGAAAGGGCTTGATTTTGAGGGACCAATACAAATTATATGTGCAGCACTGGTAAATTATTTCACTTCAAAGCAATATTTTACAAAGCTAGATTTCTTAATTAATGTATTTTAATAACAGAGTAAACAAGAGAAAATTACATCTGATAAAGAATATTTTTAATATTATTATTTCACTTTGAATGACCAGGCATAACTGTCTTCACTGTCATTCACTGTTCTTCAAATGGAATTGCCAAACTATTACAGGATAAATCTGATCTTCTGTTTAGTGAAGGTCAGCCTCTCTCAACTGTAATTTAAACGCTGTGACTATCTTTTATTACACAAGCCCTACACAATTCATATTTTCCAGAATAGAAAATATATTTACATTCATTCCATGCAGATATAGAACCACGAGGTTGCCAAAGCTTCAAACTCTGGAAAACATCAGCTAGTCACACACTGTTCTCTTGTGCTCCAAACCTCGGCTGTGGAAGCACGGACAAGGGCTGCAGGACAAGTCCATACATATACTGTAGTGACAGTCATGCTCTTAAGTCTTGCTTTTGCCTCATCCCCCAGAATTAACCTATTCCCCAGTGAATCACACGCAGCTGTCAGCAACAAGTATTTTGTTACCTTGTGGGAAGACAAAACAAAACAAAATAAACAAAAACCCTGCTCTTCACCACCGCCCTTCAAATGGAGAGGAAAAAACGCACTGCCTCTCACATCAGGCAATCACATTCTACCTCCACTGCTTCAGTGCTCTTCTTCCTATGTTTTCCTATGCTGACAATAAGAGAAATGACAAGAACACACAACCAAGAGAAGAAAACAAGGTGGCAGACAGACTTCAGGGCAGGAAATCACACTGTGTTTGGGAGAGGACAAAGAGAGAAGTATCAAAGCGGAAGCTGGATGCCATGGGTAGGTGCAAATAGAGACTCAGACAAATACATCATAAAAAATACAGGTTACAATTCCTTTCAGGGATTCTTGTGACCCTCATGTTCATCTAAGGCTCATTACAACAGCAGGAGCAACACCTGAAAACATTTTTTTTTTTTTTTTTTTAAATCTTAACAAGTGCCACAGTCTACACAACAGGGGAGAGGAACTCTGGAACAAGCCTGTAGGTCTCTGGGCAGCTCTCTCTGCTAAAATGCATCATGTTGTGGTTACGAACTCACCAAAATCCTGTTTGTGTAGCTCTTCCATGAAGCCAAAATTAGTCCGGCCTTGGGTTGAGGCCAAATGGATTAATAAGAAAATAGAAACAGACTTTTTTTTTTTTTTTAAAACTGATTCAAGGCTATATATTTAATCAGTTCTCGTGGTCCAAGTATTATCTATAATGTAGCAATAATATGTGTTAAAGGCAAGCTTTACATTAGGCCTTGAAATACAGAAAAGAAGATAAGGGCTAGCTAGCACGAATTATGCTTGGGATTCCTTTTAAACTATCAACAAAGGAACAGACTACCTAAATTATAAAGTATTACGCTATCAACCCCTCAAGCAAATCCCCAAAAAACAAATCAGCTTACTGTTCTGGTTTATCCAGGAACTTCAGTTCCTCTTCTTTTGAAGTCTGATAATGTTGCTTTATTTTTTCCAGTTCATCCTTTTGTGCTCTCTGAGTAAATTAAAGTAAAAAATGAATAATTAATAACAAATTATTAAATCACCAATTTACCTGTTTATCAGCATACCAGAATTATAATTTTAAGGACACATTTAGACCATGCTAAGAAGAGAGGTATAAAGAACCACAAGCGGGCATTTATCCAAGCTGGTAAATTCCTAGAGTGCATTGCAGTATCATTCAGATTTACCAGCCTTGTCCCCAAAATGAACCATTCTTTGTGAGCATAGCCCTCCTCCACCCCTCAAAAACAGAAACAAAATCACAGCTGTAGGCTGCATTTTGACTCATCTAATGTCAAAGAGGTTTCTATGTATCACTTAATGCTCTGAATGCAACCAGAGTCCTATAGACTCACTTCATGAATTCTATATGCAGGTGTACAACTGAAGTGTTCTCATTATACACAGCAATTTGGGTAGGGACTGCAATGCAAAATACCTGAAGTAACTGCTTTAGCCACCTACCCTACATGTTACATCTTTTCCTACATTTTATCTTGATTCTAAATGCACTCTACTGTTTTATATTTCTGACTATTTCTGACTTTAGGAACTGAGACATGAGAGAAATATGTATCTCAATGGATATCTTAGGATGATATCCATTTTATTATGTTCCATAAGTTTTTTTTTCTATAAAATATCTCTACTCTAAAGCAAAACCACAAAATAAAGTTTTATTCATTACTTTTCTGTAATTCTGAACCCTGTGCTGATTAACCCCAGCTTTATCTCTACATACTTACATTTTCATATAGTGCTTCTAGTGTTTCCAGGTCTACAACTGAGTCATCCACACACAGTATAGCTGTATAGGATACAAACATAAATTAGATGCTAGAAAATGCAACTTGAATTCAACTCTGTTTTCTATAATACACATCATACAGATATGAGATATCTGAAATTTTTATACCCAATTAATACTTCAACATTTCAGCATTTTGGGGAAGTCAAGGATATAACCTGCCAGTTGCTCAGAAGCCTGTGTAGGAGGTTAAGCAGAAAAATGTGACAGCACTGGATACCAGAATACCTGATACCAGGATACTTGAATAGTTCAGGTTTCAAGGTGGTTTAGAAGACCAGAGAGCAAAGAACTGAGAGTTAGGCTGTTTAGAATGGCCTATGTACATGGGAAATAAGGCAGAAAACTGGAAGATCAGGTCATCTTTTTGATTCCTCTTTACCACAAAATCTTTTCTTCCTTAATTCCAAATTATATGGCATTATATGTTTCCAACATTTGGAAATACCACTACAATTTAGGAGAAACTGGGAGACTGCTTTTGAAAACTAAATGGAATTGGATATCATGTACTCTCCAATGCTCTCTCACAATTCTCCTACTGCTCTGAAATGTTACATTCCAGTAAGCTAAGAGGTACATAACACTATAGAGATAATTTAGGATCTTTATTTTTTTCTGAAAGCAACATTTCATCATGTTTCTTAACACTATCGGGCAGAATTTCCAAACTACCTACTTACATTTAAATGTTACTGAGAACATAAATGCCAGAAGGATCAAGATTAAAGCCCCTGGCAATTTCCCATGTAACCAGTAAATCATCACTAACTACTACCTGATATCTTTTAATTTCAGCTGTATTAGATTTCTTCACCTTTACGTGTGGAGTCTTGACTATGTGTGAACTTAGAAGTTTTTAAAAGCTCTTGCTGTATTTGCAAGCCAGGTTTGAAAGGGACAAGGCACACACATCTTTAATTATTTAAAAGTAATAAGCTTTCGCCCGCTCTCCCACCTACCCCATGATTTTACATTGTGAAATTAACCAGCAGGCTAGTAAATTTTCTCTGTGGCAGGCTAATTAATTTTATTAAAAGCTCCAGTGACATTTAGAATGCTTTAAAATTTTGCCTGTCAATTATGATTCCATCTGCTGACATTACACCTTGGTTAGAAGAAAGGATTATATGGAGAGAGGCAGTAACAGTGGGGGGGGGGGGGGGGGGAAGCAGTATCTATATGTATTTCATTCCATTTTGAAGATTCTAAAAATCCCAAGATTTTAACCAAATATAAAAACTGAAAAACAGAGCTAGCCACAAATCTCTGCTTAAAGAAAAATCAGTAGGGACTAAATCTATTAGATCATGTTTGCCCTTGTAAGATGGTTGCATGAATTGCATTTTCTGTTGTACTAATCAAAAAAATTCAAAAAAAAAAAAAAAAAAAAAAAAAGTGAGAGACTGGAAAATCTCTTGGAAAAAAGTTTTCATGGCCTAATAAATTTAATTATTATGACTTCTGAATACATATCTTTAGTTCAGTTTCTTTTTCATCCTATCCTATTTTGGGATACTGTAATACTTGCAAAGATAACTGTCATTTTATTACTGTCATTTTATATTTCACAGACATGCCTTTCCATTTATTTCTACAACATGTACTTTTTTAGTACAACTCAGTAGACTGACTTGCAAGGAAGCAAACCAGAGTCATATACAAGATAATTTTAACTCATACTAGAAATGCAAGATCATGTAACAATAATAGCAGATCTTTACAGCACAAGGCTGTTATAACGACAGCTAATTGCTTAAGAAAAGAGAATATACTAATAGGAAAACCAGTGTATGTATGTCTGATAGTTTCAGACAAACCAGACAAAAATAAAGCTCTAAAAACCAAAAAGGTTTATCTTATGCTGAACTCTCCGATTAACTTTTCGGTACTTAACAACAGGTATTAAAACAAAACAAAAAAAAAAAAAAAAAAGATTGAAGTGGCATGATAAACTATTCACTATTGAAATAATAAAATACAATTTCACACGTTAACATATTTTAACAGCTTTAATGATGATCAATGTTAAGAGATAATATGAATTATTTTACCTTTTGGGACAACTAGGTATATTTTCTGAACTATTTGCTATAGGACCAGCACAGATATTATGAGCATCCCCAAGGCAGACTGGTTGCCAGCTAAAAATCTACTCCTCTGACTCAATTCAATGAAAGTTTGGCATATTAGGGATGCTAATATATGTCAAAATCTATAGCAGGATCTATAGCAGGATCCTCTGCTCCATCTCCATGCATTTTATCATCTTGGTCCTCTTATCTGTATTTTCATTCATACTGAACAACTTGGCATTATAAATATTGAGACAAAAATGAAAAAGTATGAAGCTACATAAAAAGCAATAAAAAGCTTTAATTTTGGAAATTTTGGAAATTAAGTTGGAAGCTATCCCCAAACTCACAGGTGTATTAGTAGTCTTCATGTTCTTCTTAAAGTGCAGCATGTGCAAGACTTCCACAATATGTTGTAAAAATTGAGTTTGGGCAGCTTAAAAAAAATTCCATTATGCTAGATGAAAGAAACTTTAGTTATTTTACTTTTTCCTTAGAACCATAAGGAAGAAAGTCTGATTTTTTTCTGTGAAAAGTGAAACTGATTTTCAATCATGTATTTTTTTTATATTAGTATTTTTAGTAATGTTAAAAAGATGCATTTTTCAGAATGCTCTCCCTTATCCAGTGAATATAACTACTTTATTGAATTACACTCCATTATACCAAGACTCACATAATATGGGTAAAGTATCATAAATCTACAAAAGAGGCTCCGAAACAATAAATAGATTAACAGTTAATACAATATCAATCATCATTGGTGGGTTTTACTTTTATCTTGCTTTCTAGTTAGCTGTCTTCCTCGCACTGTCAGTTCAGTTAGAATATTTCACCTACACCTCACAATATGCCGAAAGGAAGTAGACTCATGCTGTGAAAAGCTGGTAATTTTATTGGGTTCCTCTACCTTTAAAAAATCTGTTACTTGGCCAAGTCTGGTTTCTGAGATCCCTTTTTGCAGGGAAATTGAGGCAAACATTTTTATGTGGTCCACGGTGTCTGCTCACAACAAGAAGAATTTATATACACAAGGATCATTAGTGCAGGGTTGCACCCATTAGGATATAATAACCGTCAGCGAGGACAAAAAACAGATCAGCATCATGAGTTCAAACTAGCAGGCACACATAAAAATACTTGCCAACTGCATTTCACATATTAAGGGTACTGCCTCAAATATAAACTTTTACCAAAGGGTTTTAACAGACTGACTTTTAAAAAGTGAATCTCACTGTAAAAAACAGATTCCCTGCTGAACCACTTCTTTCACACACCTTATTTCATCATTTCAGAAACATAAACCAAAGAAAAGCTGGGTATTTAAGGCATACTGGGTGCATTCTACACACAACTGTAGATCTTAAAGTTTTAATACGAAAAAGATACTTCTTTCCTCCTAACTACCTTAAATACTAACAGAGTTTTAAGGCCAATTCTGACATGCAGCCTCATTCACACTATGTACGTTTTGGTTAAATCAGGATTTAAGTCCTGCTGACAGAACCTACGCACAAACAGCAGTTTTGAACCAGTTGATCTGACAATTAGGTTACAAAGAATATGAGGAAAATATGAAAAAATACTTTATTTATTTGGTCTCTTACAATAAAACAGAAATATGTTATTTAAATAAATAAATAAATAATGCTTTCCCAAGTTTATTACATGTATTTGGCCTGGAAGCACTTGACGGCTTCACCTAGTATATTCTGCTGAGAAAGTATCATTTCATAGGAAAATTAAGGCTCTCTTTAGCACACTTAAATGAAATTGTGACTGATTTAGTCAACCAGAAAGTTACTATGACTGTTAAAGACTAATCCGTGCTTGGCAAAACTGCCTAAAATATCCAATCTGTTCTAGTTTGCTTCATACAAATTGATCTAATGTTCTAAACTCATTTAAAGTTTTTTCTTTCCCCCAGCATTTAACTACCATTCAATTCAAGAACATTAAAAAGCACAATGCAAAGAAGCACCATGGGCACAATGTGGGTTTAGAAGAGTAGGGAAAGCTCAATTGCTGCAAGAAGTCATGAGCAAAAGACTCTGGCACTAATGTTAACCTACCCACATCAGACTAGATGCCCTAGGCAGATTCACAAAAACATATGTTGTAGATTATCTAGAACAAAGAAAATAACTTTTAACGGAAATTGTTTCCCAATTTCTGAGATGAGTATGTAGCTATCTCTGCACTTCATGCATAGGAATGTATATATGTAACACTCAGGGTAGACAGAAAAGTTACACAATTTCACATTTTTTAAATTTATTTTTTAATCTTTATAATCTATACTGTCCTCCTGATATTTCAGAGGAAATCCCATTAACCTCATTTTCTATAGTGCAAGAATTATTACAAAGCATTTTCCTTAACCTTGAAGTATTTCCAAAATACTCTTCCAAAAGAGCAGTGGCAATATTGTGCTGCATAGTACAGTTAAAACACAGGTTGGGATTCAAACATTTTGGACACGCTGCAGTCTGCAGATTAGAGTTGCTTTGGAATAGTTTGAATTGCACATATAAAATTTAGGATCTGAAAGATCCTAAGAAAAGTGTTAACAATGATATTGTTCACTAAGGCTTAGATGTGATTTCAGGCATTTTGTGTGCTGCGTGCATCACATGGGATGCAGTTAGACCCTCCAAATGTAAGAGTGTAGGGAACAAATTCTGTGTTATCTTGACCAGTGTTTTGATTCGCCTTTTGTCTATCAATCTTACTATCAAAATGATTGCCTATCAATATTAGTATGAGAAAATATAAGGAACAGTAAAACTCATATAGCTAACAGGATTCAGCTAACAGACTCTATTCAGTTATATCCACTTTAATCCAAGATTTCATTTTCCAACATACTTTCCAATATTTTTGAAGCTCTGTTAGATTTGAACATTTTGAAGCCTAGATATTTTACATTGCTTATGAAGACAAGTGAATTTGAAATGCACAGTAAATACACCACACATGCTATTACAGGTTAGCCACTGTTACTCTGATTTAATAAATGAGGTTTCAAACATTATATTTAATTGCTTAAATCCAGGAAAGAAAGAGTTCTTTTTAATACTAAATGTGCACAGACAGAGTCTTAAGGCCAAGTGCTAGTAGTCACTCTGACCACATATAAGTTCTGTTTTCCTTACAGTATTAAATATTTACATTAGTAAATGTTCTAGCAAAGTCTACACCTGCTCATGCAAGGAATAACATGCCATGAAGCGTACAGTACTCTATAAAGTATGCATCTGGTGTCATCTATCACATCTCATATATTCGGACACAAAAAAAACATATACCAATATGTGAGAACATCTAATTAATGCATCCTGATAAAAATCAGGGGTATTAGTGAGCCATTTTCATTATTGTAAAGGTGGAGACCTGCAATTTTAGTTGCAAAATGAAGGCATCATGGAGGTAGGTAGAGGCAGCTCACAAGAAGCTAGCAGAGATGACCTAAGCTGCAGTACACTGCTATTGCTGGCTACTTATACTGGGAACAGCCTGAGTGACTGGAACGTGGGCCTAAAATCATCTGGAACCAGTGCCCACAGAGGGTCTTTACATACAGTTATAACCAGCATATCTAATTAGCAACTGAACTGAACCACCTCTCCATGAAGCAAGCTGTAATGTTTTAACAGCAAAGCCACACAAGAAGTCTAGAGTCAGAAGTCTGCTTGTCAAGCTGTAAGGTTTCTGCTGATCCACCCATAGGTAAAGTAATAGAGAAGTGTGCTGCCATGAAAAGGAGATTACCCCTACAACTCTGCAGAGCTAAAAGCATATTCCTTACCTAAAAGCTCCTTTATATCATTCTTCATCTCTTTTGCATGAATTTTTTTAAAAGACACAGGAAAGAAGCCTTGAAAATAATCTCAAAATTGGGCACTATTTCATTTGCACTATTTGTTTTTTAAATATAAATACAGATTCTATCCAATCCAGATGAACAGTTTCCTGTATGCTGCTTCTGTGTAGGAAATTATTATTAATGGTCTAAGTAGAAGGTATATTGCCCTCTTCAGTATCAGATTCATCAATAAAATTTGTTAGTGTTCTTAGCACCTAGTTCATTGGATAGGTGCAGCAGGAGAATTTTAATGTCCATCTGCATCACTTAAGCCCCAACGGTAGCCAAAATAATTATTCAGGTTTAGCCCTTTTACTCCCTAGGCTATACTCAGATACAGCAATTTATCTGCAAAGGGTGTCCTCCTTTCTCTCGAAGAAACATCTGTGGGAGATTCCCTTCTCCAAGTGGCTCATTATCAAATGCAAACTGAAACATCTGGGTGCCAGATATGATTCCTTACATGTGTTACCACTGCTGAGCTATCTAAAGAATATGCTGTTAAGACAGTTACTTAAAATAATTTGAGAGTCAAGTCCCACAGATGCAGAAACTTCACAGTATGCAAAGTAGTACCTAAGTTTTCAGGGAATTGCACTTCTTTTCTCTGCAATTCTGCATGCATTTATATGCATGAAGCTGTTTTTCATAGAAGTAATTTGAGGATAGTTTTTTTCTGTCTTTCTATAACTACTACTTATGGTAGAAAAAACAATACATTATAAATAGATAATAAATTCATTTGAATATGTCCTTTCAACAAATATGGTCAGAACAACTTGAAATAAAATTAGATTTGTTTTTTCACTTAGATTTTCTTTTGCTTCAAGCTTCTTCACTGTCAGTTGCAAGCTGAAAAAGACAATTTCTCTTCCCTGTATTTGATGTACCGAATTATGCAATGGAAGTAGGCATGCAAATGGTGTGCTTAGTTTTCATGTTTCTTAGAAATATCCCTTTGTATTGGTACTTCATTTGGTATTCATCCTCAAGTGATTATATTGTTTTCAGCGAGGTGCTGGCATGAGGTAGCTAGCATACTGTAATGATTTTTTTTCATCCAGTGCATTTAATATAGCAGCCATTTTCTAATATCTCTTGATCAGCAGGAGTTGGAATTTAAATTGATTTAAATCAGTTCACTAAAATAAAACAAACTAGAGCAAAAACATAGACTAGAAGAAGGACCAGCAAAACCATACTGCTGTTTTCATTACACAGTACGCATTTCTAAAGATCTAAAGGCATCTTTAGAATATAGACATCCCCGAGACTAGTGAATTATGCTTTTTCTTTCCTCAGGGAGACTCTACACACAGATTTCTTTTAGAATCACTCATGTTGCTTGGAGATTATCTCCTAGCTGTTCCCATAGGCAAGTGGCAGTACATCCTATTGCTGCCCTGAGCAAGACATGCGGTGACAGGCCAGTCCCTTGCTATCTCTCACAAGAGGAAAGGTGATGAGTTACAAACTTTCCTTCAGCGATGACACTTACTTGATCTTTTTAATTATTGTTAAACTTGTGGGACCAAATTGCCTAAATCTACAGTAGCAAATAGTCAAGTGCAGCAGAAATAGATTGGTAGAGAGAAAACTGGTGCTGAGGACCAGTGTTCAGGGTCTACACAATTCTGTGTTACTTTCAAACAGGTCTAGTCTGACCCTACGTTCTTTAAAGCCACGTATAGAGTGCTGTCGTGTTCCTACAGCACATGTGATTTAGTTTCTTCCTGAAGGATGTTTGTGCACTGTCAAACTGCTCTGCAACGCAAACTAAAATCCAGCCGATTTGCTTCAGAAGCAATCTGCTTCTACAGGTCTTCTACAGATTTTGGATGTACAGATCCAAAGTAAAGTGCTTCTACAGACAGTATAGACACACACAGACATTTTAAAAAATTCTTCTTTCCTCTTAATTTTGGTGTTAATTGGCTGGGGACGGTGGAGTTTAAAGCTACAGAAGTAGAACAAAGAGCTGACAAAGATACATGGCATGATCACATATATACTTTACACAGCTATAAAGCCACAAGCGGATATTCATGATAAAGTAGGATCTATAGGACATCATGGCACGAAAATAAGGAGTTAAAAAAATGTCTTTGGGAGTATTTAAGAATACTATGCTGTTTTTATATTGTAGCTGCTACCTTTTTCCTGACAGCAAATTATTCAAATATTTAATAATGGCAGGTTTTCTTTCCATCTCATTCTGATACCTTTCACACAATACTGGCAGGCACAAAGTTATTCCTTCTTCTGTTGTTTCCCTCCACCCCAAGAGCCATCTGCAAGCCCTTGTGCTTTTAAAGTCCTAGATGCTCAAAGGCTCTTCTAAAATTAATAATCAATGCCAGCAGCATCTCAACACTCTACCCAGTATTTGCATGTGATGGAAGGAAAACAATAGCAAAAAGCAGACATCAACTTGAATTCTTCCAGCAGTTGTTTTAAATGCTGAATATTTTTCTTTTTAAATGTGAAAAAGAAATAAACAATATCCCTAAACAATACCTTTTTAAATCCAGAACATAAGCAGAATCTGAATTACCCAAGTGTTCTGAAAAGTCTGTATTTCTCTACTGTCACATTGGCAAACTCGGATAATTTCTACCAGTAATGGAATTTATACAGAGTAGCTCGATGCTTTGAAAAATGCCATCATCTTTCCGATTGCCACATGGTAGCTGCATTCTCAGTTTTGGATGTGCTTTTTATATGGTTAATGAAGCAAAGTTTAAACATTCAACAAATACAGGCTGCATATTTGAAACCCAACAGATTTATACATAAAACCTCTATTGAATTTTTTTTCAGTGGGGGACTTACTTAAGCAAAAGGGGAGAATCATAGCAGAGAAATACGAAACTACTTTGAGGAAACCCTGGATTAGAAGTGACGTGAAAAAAAAAAAAGGTAGAGAAAGACATGAATCTAAATTTACTTGAGTTTATTTAGGTGAAACTGCTGTATTTACTTATTCGAAGAGTGATTCTTCTGCTGTCATAAAGAAGGCCACACACAAAGGCCCATAAGAAATTCTCTGAAGGGTGCTATGAAAAAAATATCCATGTAAAATATGATACATTAAAAGTTCTGAAAGACCTACCTTGCTGAATATCCTTCATTTCCAGGTGCAAACTTGATATTAAAATTCCTACAGTTTGAGATCGTTTTCCATCCAACAATTTGATAATCTGCAAATATAATGCAAAATAATCTTAGATCAAATAACCACTCTACAGAGGTTTTATTAGCACAAAAGAGAAACAATGTCCTTTCAACCCTCAAAGTTTTGTTATTAATTAGATGTGATAGTAGAATCTACCTTTTCTCTGCATCTTCTGCACCTTAACAAATGGCTGATAAATATAATCTTGAAGTCTCATCAGATCTAGTAAAGAAGTTCATCTCTTATTGGCAGAATGTTACTGGCAAGTCAAAAAAGACACATCAAATCATTACTCTAAAATGATTTTTTTCCTTCTTTAGAAGATTGGGGTGAAATTCTTTAAGACATTCTGAGCATGTCACATGTTCCTCAGATGATGTGATATTTTTTTTTCCAAAAAGGAATACATTTAAGTCTATCTTTTTGTCAAAGGATCTCTTCTCAACCAAGGAAAGTTGAAAAATATCTTTCTATGCCCTGTCAACACTGCAGCCTTTCACTCTTGTCTCATCGTGCTCCCTCTACACCATGGACATTTTACATGGATCTGTGCATGGCGTTCCTATTTCAGTAACAGACACTTGCTAGTATATAATCCTGATGCAAAGAAAGCAGAAGTAGAAGGAGAAGAGCAAGTAAAAGCTATAGAAATTATTTTGGAGAAATATAAAAAGTCATATATGAAAAATAATGCATAAAACAAAACAAAACAAAAAAAAACCTTATTACCTATGTGGATCAGTCCATAAATAAAGTATTGAGAGGTTAGATTTTGGAAATGCAATTCAAATGTTAGAAGAGATAACCTGATAATAAGAAGCTTGGATTCAAAACTGAATTTCCCACAACACTTGGATTGTTTTTATTTGTGATTTTGATTGGTATCATAAGGAAGATATGACAGTAACAAGGCACAAAATTCAAAACAGATGTGAAATTCTTCAAAATAAAAAAGTTTAGATCCAAGCAGTTAGCTTGCTAGTGTTGATGAACACATACTATTGATAGTGCTAACTCAAATGTAAAATTAAAATAGTTACTGAATGCATATTCCCTAGAATATATCACATATAAATTCATACATGTATTTCCACTATTTTATATAAATATTTATATATATACACACACACACACATATACACATTTTTGTACTTTTGTGTATACACACACGAATTTATCTTTATTGTTTGGGAAACCATCTTTGGATATGTAATAATATCCAAAACTATAAAGAGTTGTTATTCCTGTAATGCCCTTATAGATGTTTATATTAGAGAAAATTAACTGATTATATTTATAATTTATAAATTTAAATTTTTGTACTTATTTTTTCCTACAAGCATTTCCTACATCCTATTTCTAATGGGGTTTAGGAACATTTAACAGCGTAACTAATTACTTAATCACGTAAGTAAAAGTGGAGTCACAGTTGAAAAATTCAAGAAAAACAAAAATGCTAAAGACAGTATAGCAGGAAAAATATAAAGTTAATTATTGTTTATAAAAGTACTGAAATAGTTCTGGATAATGAACAAATAAGCGTGCATGCTGCCTTCATCAAATATCTTACAGATTCTTTATGACCCTGCTGTTGAGAGTCAAAATGAACTTATGTTAAAGTAGATTTTGTATATTTTCTGTCAATATTGCAAATAAAATATACTGAGAAAGTTCTTCCAGGCTATATCTATGGTATTTATTTTGGATGCTAGAAAAGAAATATAACATAATTTATTTAGGACATATTCTTTAGATGAGAAAGGATTCAGGTTCTTAATTTCCTGAGTTCTGAAACACAGATCACTTGAAAAATGAATACTCTGCAAGTATCACATCATATTAACTGAGATTTTTCAGAGCAGCTACAAGGAACTGCACAGTTTATCATGGTCATTTCTGAAGCTATACATGAATTTGCTAAACTCGGCAGCACATTAACTTCTAACAGGGATAATTACAGGCTTGAGTAGTATGCAATTTGTATAGCATTTGCTGACCTCCAAGTTGACCCTGTTCAGGGGCAAATTCATAGGTTGTCATAAACCCCATTAGACATGCCTAGTTTGAGGCAAAACCTTTCCAGACTATAGCCCCTATGGATGATATAACATCTGAAATCATTGCATTCAGATATTTTAAGTACTAATATACATACTCTCCAAATATGATCAATCTAGCTCACATCACCAAGCAAGACTTTCTTCTTGAAAGACTGGTAAAATACATTGTAAGAAGAGTAATTTTAAAAGCTATAATAGAGATTCATGTTTCAGAATGCCCAGCCAACTGTATGTTCACAGCATTTTTAGACAAATCTACACATGGTCACAATTACCAGACACCAAACTAGACTCAGAGTACCTGAAATAGCTTCAGCCAAATGAAATCTCTCACTGAAAGCTAATATTTCATTTATTAGACAGTGGGAAGGGAGTAATAAGACAACAGAAAAGCTTAAGTAGGGCATAAAAGTATTCTAAAAAAAGTTGTGATGTTGAAGAATTAGAAATGACTTTTGTCATAGATTTTAGAAACAATGTGTAGTTTGAAAATTTCTGCAACACGAACGTATAACCAATGGTAAAACACAGAACAGGTTTTCAAAGATAAACATTTTGCCCCAAAATATGGTTATTTTGCAGAAGCAATTGACACAGAATTAAGTATGTATGTGAATTCTAAATAGAAAGCAGATACAAAAAAAAAAAAAAAAAACCACCACCAGCAGTTTTTCAGGTCATAAAAAAAACATAAGGCAATAAAATGGAAGTTTGTAAGGACAGCATTGCAGTACTCAGGCTATACTTGAAAAGAAAAATCACTGTTCACCTCTCAGCATATTGGGACTTGCTTGTGGCTGGCAGCGACAGGTGACGCGCTCCAACGCGGCTGAGGCCACTGGCTGCTGCTGCAGCTGCAGGCAGAGATTGTCCAAGCCCTGGGCAAGGCTCCCGGCTGCCAGCCACTCCTCCAGCCTCCAAACCAATGCATCGCTGCAGTGCATGCAGCATCCTGAAGCTCAGCAAACACACTGTGACAGCTGGTGTTGTCCAATTCGTTCGGTGGCCTGATCTATCATGTCATTTGTCCTGTGTGGTGATTCCTATCTATTTTTTAATGCTACTAAGTTAAATTTTCCATTATAGGACTAACTTCGTTGTTTTGCATAACTGCAATGTCCACATTCTGTCTGGAACACTTAATGGTGCTGAAATTTATACAGATTCAGTTTACTCGGGGAATAAAAGCTAAATCCTTCCTCCTGCTGGTGCGTGGGTTCTTTCCATAATCTTTAAACGTACTGAAAGAAGCAATCAGCTAAAAAGCTGTCCTGTATTTCCCTCCATTTCCAGTCACTATCTTTTATAGCAAAGTCTGCAACCTGAACCCATAAGTGGTCTACTGAAACCCTATTCAAGCTGAGGAAGACTAGCTACCAGGAGGGGCACGTCAGTAGGTCCCTCAAGGCTTTCTACATAAACATCCCAAGTGATGAGATTTCAGTAGCTTAAGATTAGACTTTATCTCTTCTTTTTCTGTTCAAAGAAGCGTTGAGCTTAACCCTTTTGATTTCTTTCTTTGATTTATTTATTTGATTTATTTTTACAGCTTATCCAGATCCTCTGATATATTAGGAAGCATGTGATTCTAACTGCAGTTCTACTGGATGAAAACATCATTTTTAGCACAAAAAAGCACAAGCAGTTTCTCAATATAAAACTGGAGGCAAGAAATGAGCTGGTAATAAACACATTTCAATGTTTCCATTCCTATCAAAACTATAAAAAACAAAGAGAACTACGATATAAATATTTACCCTTTACAGACACTTTCCATACCCTACATGATTCTAGAATTTGTGGTTGACAAGGAAATGCAAATTCATTCTTTTCAGCATGGCAGAAAAAATAAAAAGTGAGAGTGCCTCAGAGGAGCATGCGCCAGCTTTTTATGCCTTTTACTCCAATTTGAACACTGTTTATTATCTTATGCAGGCAGCTGAAGACAGTCATTGTATTTCAGCCCCTGCAAAGCTTCCAACTTCTTCCGCAATATCTGCCCATCTTGCGGAAACACAAAATTCATTAATTGTTAATTTCTCATTTAGTTAGATGGACAAAAAACTTGCTGACAGACATATCCCTTTTAGTTAAAAAAAATGTTCTTTGCTCAAAATATTGACACTCTTCTTAAATGAGAACACATGCTAATAATTATGTGAAGTCTGTTAGAGATAATAGACAACAGAAAAGCCATTATCTTTAATGTCCTCCTGCGTCTTTGATATGATAATCATTGCACTAAAGAGCCAAAAATGATTGATGGACTTTCATTTAGAGCATACACCTGACACAAATTACTTGACATTTACCCATTTTCTTCACAAGATGAAGACAGAGTGGCATCACAAGCATCCAGCTATCCTGTTTCTTGAAATGATATAGAAAATACTTGATTTGGGGAGCATGGCTAACTTTGAAAAAAAATTGGAAGACGAATACATCCTTGAAATATGTGTTGCTCTTGAAGCATTTAGTGAGTACATATAAAGTAAGTATATAGGAAAGAATTTTTCTTTCTTAAATTACCTCTTTTTCAAGCTTATAAGGCATTACAGTGCAACACATGATGATAAGCCATCTTCTGCTTGGTACTAACCTCTTTCAAATAAAATAAGGTGAACAGACCTTAGTTCCACAGTTGGATCAGGAGAGATAAAACTTATGGCTTGAGAAGAACTACACATACCTAATAACTTAAAAAAAAAAAAAAAATGAAGGTGTATGTACAGGAAACATTAACTGTTTGGAATGAGGAAAGCTGGAATTCTTTGCATATAGAACTTCAATGTTTCATCTGACATGGAAAAGAGTCCATACAAGACCTTAAAAGTCTGGAAATGATGTTAGATGCTTCAAAGCCTATTCAAATTCATTGAAAGAAAAGTTCTTTCAAAAACAACAAAATGCTTTTCAATAAAATAGATAGGTGTTTTTATATGCTTAACTGGTTTTGGTGCATAAACAGCTATGGACCTTAATGATTGTGTACACCATCTGTTTACAGTTGAACATAAAAATTCATAGCTGAAGTCTATTTACAATTTTTTATACATATATATATATCTTTTAAAATTAACAGCATATTTCCAGACATAAACGTTTTAATGGGAGTGTTGTAAGTAAAAGCTAAGCATGTAAGAATTTAGAAATGATGACTGTGATGACTGAAAACAATCTAGACAAATAGTGACATTTTCAAAGGCATATCAGTGCCCTGATAAAGTTGATTTTAAAAATAAGAGTTGTATTCAAAAGGTACTTGGAGTCTAAATGTCCACGAAAATCAATACTGAAATTTAAGTTTTATATACCCAAACAACCTTCTATAGCAAGGCTTTTTGATTTACATGAGCAATGACTTTTATGTCATTTTGGAAGCTGTACCAGCTAGATTCTCTTGAACAAATCTCCCCTGAATACTGTAATGCCTTTATACGGCATAAATCCATTTAGCCCCAATGTACGCTGTCAAGATGCCTGATAACAGTAAGATATATTTAGGTAAATCAAACTCAATTAACCAAAAGCAGAGAGAAATCACTTTGATCCATATTCAGGTATTAAACAGTTCTGCTTCTTTAGTTTTTTCCAAAAACTTTGACTTTTCTTGCTGCACAGACAGGTACTTTAGAATAGTGCTACTGAGCTTAGGCATTTAATCCCACAGAAATATGTTATTTATACATCTACGTTTGTGGGAAAGTCCACATACAAACAAGCAATTTCCTCCTTTCCATTTCACCTGTCACACCCAAAAAGTTAACTGTATTACCTTATATAAACTTAAAATGCTTTTTAATTTACTTTAAAAATCCCTTCTCATGAGAAAATAATTTTATGTATTCACTTCTGAATATATTGCACACTTTTCTTCACATATTGGAACAAAACCAAACCATTCATCTTGACTGCAAATTCTGTGCTGCTAAAAAGGACAAATTCTGCATTCAAGACCTAATACATAAGACATGAGAATATTTGATCATTTTCAGTACACTTCTTCAGAATTTCTCATGACTACATATATACAGAGGACATAAATGCACAAGGACAGAGGTTTCCTGAGATATTTCAGAGGACGCACTGTGGAATAAAGAGAGGTTATTCCAAAGCAACTGCATTTTGCAAAGCAGGGCACCATCAGAGAAGCGTGAGCAGCCAGAAACTTTACAGAGCTTCTAAGCACTAGGTAAGTGTTACTAGACCAAACTTCAAGTACATATACAAGTACTGGAAGGTACATCTGACCTTCAATTAAACTACAGTAACATTTAAATTATATAAAGCTTACATTGTACCACTATAGAAGGTACTACTTTTTTCTTAAGCACCTAAAAACATTATTAAAATCACTCTTTAGGCACTCTTTTAAGAAGTTACTTTTTCATTGGTGCAAGAAGGTTTTTAATTTTCTTCCTTCTTTTCTTTCCCTACACATTTGTTGGAATACCTTATTTGTTAAAGACTATTTCAAATTCTAAAATTTACATTCTCATAGAATCATAATGTTTGGAAAATAAAATTAACATTATCAAAGCCAAATATAAACCCATGATAGCCTGTACAAACTAATGCAACTCACTAAGCCATTTTCTGCTCTTCTATCCATAGGAAAATGGATAGAAACTGTACTTTATGCCTTCTATTTGACTCTCAGAATTGTGATAATGGAAAGAAGGAAGAAATAAGTTTTCCCTAGTAGTAAAGCTCCTCTTTTTTTTTTTTTCTTTTAAAAGAAAAGAAAGGTGCTCTGCTTTCTGAGAACATTAACCTCCTCTTCCAGATTAAGCATTTAGGATCACTAGTTTTTTATTTTCTCGGAGACTACTTTTAGACTTACGATCATTCTCACCTCCTGATTCCTTACCCAAGCTAGATGCAGTTCTTACCTAAGATCTGGCTGAGTTTATTAGCTTAAAAGAAATACTTATGTTCACATATCAACATGGTAGGTGGTGAATATTTCTCATCTGTGTTGCTCTAAGATGTGTGCTATACGAAGTTGTTGTTCCCCAAACAGGCACAGATACAAAAATAAAGTGAAATTTCTATAAGCTCCACGTGACGTTTTGCACATTAGTATTCCTTATGCTTACTAGGTATAACGATTGTTACCACTGGTGTCACAAAAATAGTTCTGAGAATAAAATGAGTTGTTGGATTTTCATTTGAAACTGCAAGAGAAATGTAAATAGGTGGTAAAGAAGTTAGCCATCATTTTTCAGGGCACTTAATGCTGAAGTCTCCTCAGTTTTATAGAGACCAAGTTAAAAAACAATGTCCCTCTAATTAGAAAGCCAGAACCTCACTTTCAATTGCACAAGGACCTTGACCGTAAGGCGTTGATTTAATTCTGATTCAAGTAGAAGAGTTTTAAGCAGTCATACTATAACAAGAGATCCTGCACCACCTATTGGTCTTTCAAGCAGCCCCAACTAGTTTGTATAAGTTTGTATAACGAAATAGGACAATGTTTGCACAAGGGAAAAGGTCAATGCTAACAAAACATTTAGTAATGCATTTGCAAGATGTTTGTACTGGAAATGTAAAAATAGTGAATAGGAGCTAACAGTAAAGTCTGACGCCTGAGAAGATTTTAAAGCTGTAGAAAGTTTTTGAACAAGTTATATTAATTGGCACTGTTTATGCAAAAATGAGTATCAATTTCTACAGCATATACTAGGAACTAGTCCAATCTGCTTGTTTAATTATGCAAAACCTCCAGTATTTCCCCCTACTTGATGCTTATGTTCAGCGCTCACTGGACAATCTGACTACTCTTAAGTAATGACATATTATTAAGCAAAATCCTCTATCCATTCCAAAGATACTACTCCAGATTCTCTGGCTGTACCTCCATCTTGCTCTGGACTTTTCTACGAGAACATAAGAAGAAAAAGAACAAAATGAGTCAGCTAAAAGTGACCGTGTAAGATTAACAAAACCAGATTCAAAATAAACTTTTATGTTTGCATGAAGGGTGTTTTTTTTTTTTTTTTTTTTGCCAGACTATACAATTCAATTCATCCTTGATTTTCTTCCTTTCATTAGGCCAGACGAGAACAAGTTTCTGAACACAGAAAAAGTTCGTTTCCAATCCCCCACCAGACAGATATCCTTGTTGAAAAAATGTCATGAGAAGTTGAGAGCTGACAGAAAGCATGAGAGAAATGAAGCACAGTACAATATAAAGATATTTTCCAAAAGGACAGGCACATCTAACCAAAATCTAATATTTAAAGGACCTTAACATTTAACAACTGGTTTAAGTTTATTTACAACTGCCTCTCCCCTCTCCACTCCCTTCTCTTTCTGTATTATCCCCATTAGCTTGTATGTTTTAAATAAAGTATATTAACAAAGATGTTTCAGCTCATCTGATTTTGCTAAGTTTCTTATATGTACAAAATATTTAAAGAAAAGAACTAGACTGCACTAGATTACACACGAAGTGCCCGCTTGTGGTTTCACGCAGGTAAACCCTAATTTATGAGACAGTATATATTTAAACACATTTATATATAACTATGTAGTTTTATGAAAACAAAGTCAGTCATTATTGAGATTAGGATTTTTTGGGCTCGCACCATTTTTCTGTCCTTTCTGGACACAGCAATTGAAAAGAATAAGCCCTCTCTCTAACAGACCATACCCAAAGCAGACAACATCTGAGGTATGATAATGTCATTGCTACTGCAAAATCTTCAAAGTCATGATTTTCTTGTGCCTTCTTGACACAACTGTTTAGTTATACTAATACCAAATACTGATGTGGAAAATCACACTTTGGCACTACATGTTCAAAACATATAGCACTGGCTGTACTATACTGCCGTATATTGTGCTTTTCCCATCTTTATTGGGAGAGAAGTTTGCTAGACAAAATAATATAATTTTGTCTTTAATTATAAATCAAATATTAAAATATAAAACTTGCTTTTTAATTGTTTAATTATAAATTATTCCTAGAAGAGTTATGGTCTGAAATATTTTCACTTTTAGAGATATAAAAATTTTCGGTCAGTTAGCCTATAGGCTAATAGAGGTCTTCTCTACCTCACTGGCATATGGAACTTCTATTTTCATAGGTAGTAATTTTTCCAAGGTAAAAAATATTCCAGATTTCCATTATCTAGGTAAGGTTGAATCAGCAGTCTCATTTGTTTTACTTTAAGATGAGATTCACAAAACCACTTATTATTTCTTGTTTTAACAAAGTTTCCTTTAGAAGTTTTCTTGACGTGCAAGCTAAGCAGTGAAAAACAGCAAATACAAACAAAAAATACCTTTTTGGCCTTTGTTTTTTTTTCATAAGTCTCTGACAGTGGTTTTCTCTTTTCCTGAGCAGTATCTTTGGAGAATAAATATTCAAACTCAGTTGTGTCAAGTAAATCAGGTTCTTCCAGTGAATCCCACAATGTTGGCATAGCAGTTTTCCTATAAATAGAAAGTAGTAAGAAAATGTTTTCATAGAGTTTGGGATCATTTGCATCAGACTTAGTTCACTTCATTTTTTACCAATATTTTATTCTTGTTTGGATTTCTTTTTGTTGCTGGTTTGAGAAACTGAGATAGTTACGTGGACAGGATTTTATAAGACTAAACAGTATCCTGTTCCATTCACTAACTACACTGTGTATCTTAAATAGGGATTAAAAAATAATTTTAAAAAAATCATTATTTACAATTTGCAACTTTTTAACACAATTTTCTTATTTCATCTGGAGTTGGGAAAAATGACATGCAGTTCTGCAAATAGCTGTTTCAATTTAAAGTGACTTTTGTTTCAAAATTGCAATACTGGAGAAAAATGTGGAACAAAACAATCTGCAAACTGCTCATTTCACGCTTGTCCATAGCAAGTGGCTGCACTTTCTCCAGCAGATGTCACTAAAAGGCAATTGAAAACTTTGCAACAAGGAAAAAGGAGTGAAAACACCTATAAGCTACTGTCACCAAACATACTCTTTTTCAGATACAACTTGCAACTGAACGCAATACTTGGCCATGTAAGGGGAAAAGGAACTGCAAGTATTCAAATAATTTTTTTCCCTCATATTTCAAACTGTTTCTCTTTATCCCTCAAGTGCACATTTCAGCAACAGCACGATGCAGCACCCTCTTCTGTATCAACAGCTCGACAGGGTCACACTTGCTGACATTAGCTAGAGGGATGTCCCTGAAGAACAGCCTTAGGCCTTCCTCTTGCTTTGGACCCAGCTTTGTGGGTTCATTGCAAGATCTAGGACAGGTCTGGGACAGCTGCTGCTCCAAGTAGTAGACCCTTGAAGAACTCTCCAGCTCTAATACCAACTCTCAAGATACTGGATCATGATCACATACTAGCAATTTGGGAAAAGACAACTGCTGAACTTCCTGTTCAAAAACATTTGATTTCTTCTAATTCTCCATCAAAAGGATACAATTGACATTTCAATAACTCTTTGTTCCTGACAGACGTGTTAGATAAAACAGTAACATGCAAAGTACCAGAATATATTGAAACCACATCCCACTGGGGCAGTACACATGTGTACACATGGATCAATGTATAACAAACACAGCCACAGAAATCTTTACAAACAGAATGTATGTCATATCGAAATTAAATTTGCTAAAAAAGTATATATGATTAGACTGTTTTATACCTCAGATGTTAAGCAGCAATTTCATTTTATTTGGAGTTAACCAGCTTTATCAACACAAGAAATAGTAAGACTGGTAACATAAAACTATTATTTTTTTTAAACTACTACACTTTGTAGGTACCTTGATGCTTATAGCATGTATCCCTGCAAATATTTATGCATGTACTTTCCTTTTCTTGCTCCCACAGAATTTGACACAGAACTTAACCCCCATGCAACTGTTTCTAGGGCTGGAATCACAGGCAATCACACACTTGGTGCTCTGAACATGGTTTCATCTAAAGTGCCTGGAAAGCAAAAGTAAATGAAGCTCAAAGTTCTCCTCTAGTCAAATTCTACCATTTCAATTTCTATTTTTTTTAAAGTATCTCCCATACAGGCTTTTCTTTTAAATGCTTACTCTAAAACAATCAACATATTTGGGTGCTTCTGCTACTAGAAGACCAATAGCTGGAATTCTCCAGGAGTACTCTGATATTCTGTAAAGAAACTAAAAAACTCCCTTCTGCCGCAAAGCACATATATATTACTTATATTTAATATTTTAACACTATGTCTATTCTTAGGCTTCTTAAATCAATTCCATTTTTATTTTCTTCTAATATTAAATTCCATAGCCCTATAGCTGATTTTGTTTCGTGTTCCTGCATTGCTTACTTTTTGTTATTAAGGCTTAAGCAGTTTATATGCCCATATATGAGAGTACATAAAGAGCATCTCTAAATCCAAATAAACATATTTTACCTGCTGCCTTGTAATTGTATGCGGGTCCAGTACAAAGGCTTCATTGGACGGCTAGGTTCAATGGCAGGTTTCCGAGGACCATGGCTAGAAGATAAAGTGCTATTAAAAAAGAATCCAGGCCCAAGAGGTGGAGGGGGTGGAGGCAACCCAGGTCCAGGCAGTGGAGGAGGAACAGGAGGGCCCAGGCCTGGAAGTGGTGGTGGTGGTGGTGGTGAAGCTTGAAAACTCCTACTCTCTTCAGAAAGCAGAGGTGGCAGTGCTGGTGCAGGTCCGAGGTGGGATGACAATGAATTCAGACCTGGTGGTAAAGGTGGTGCTGGAGGGACTAATGCTGGTAGTGAAGAATCTGGAAGGGGAGGAGGAAGAGGAGGAGGTGGAGGTGGTGAAGGAAGAGGCAGGTTTTGTTTTGGTTGACAGGATAAGCCACTTTCTGAAGACTGTACATTGTAACATATTTCCTTATTTTCACTTTGGGAAGAAATACTATGAGTCAAAGAAGAAATATTAAGTTTTTTGGGTACTGTCTGGTTATTTCTCACAGTTCTGTTTTCTTCTTCGTTAGGCTTTATGAAAGTTTCTCTGTCAGTCTGTATGTACACATTTCTGTACGTCTTTGGTGGGTTATCATCTTCAGTAGATACACCAATATCCCTTGCCGCTTCATTTCTTCGATTTAATTTATTTTCCAGTTCATTCTTCAGATGTGCAATAGTTTCCTCAAGCTGTGCAGTAGATACAGCATGTTCTCCACGAATATGGAATACCCTGAGTTCAAACTGAGACTGCAAAACAACAAGAAAAAGCCCCTCAGTATGAATATTTTGCCAAAGTGATTATTCTGCAGTAATTATGCATTTTCACATTTAGATCATTTTCTTAAGTTAAGGAAACTACAATGATGAAAAGATTTTACCTTCCCAGTTCTAAGGAGTTTTATTGTAAGCTAGTACATAATTAGGCAATTCTTGTATTTTAATGAAATGTAAACAATGCATGTTTCAGTGAAAGTAAGTAGATAAGCAAGTAGAACAATTTTTTGTTGACAAAAACAAACAGTTTTTTAAATTGTCGAATGCAATATTTAGCATTTTTCACTAGGAGAAAAAAATAGTTATTTTCAATAGTATTGTACTTAATGGCATATGACTTCACTGAATATCACATTTCATAAATATGACAACTAACACACTAGACTAACTAACATGTTGAGAACCAACATGATATAGAAGAGAAGTTGAAAATGTTCCGAGATAAGCAAATTAAAATATACACTTCCTCAGCGAGGAAGATCTATTACAAGTATTAGAAGTAAATTCACAGACATTACAGACAAAAATTCTCCTCTATATTTACTGTTACTATTAGATTAAAACTGCCTTTTAATTTTACTAAGTATCATTTAATATACAGTTCAGTAAAATGAATCTTAGATGCACAAGAAAGGACTTAAGAGGATTTCAAGGAGTTAAAAACAAGATTAAATAAATGTCTCAGGAATATATATATGTAAGGAAAAAAAATTTTTTTTCTTACCATACATCGTAAAATATGAAACATTGCACACACAACATCTTCTTGAAATAATCCAATACAATAATGCTATTCAAGATAGCAACTCTCCTACATATATATATTATTTCTTACAGGAATGTAATCAACTTCCATTACTCTCATCAATCTGCTAAATTGCTTCCGATAGCTAAGTTATCCTCACGTAAAACTGCAGTTTTTTAAAATAGAAGTTTATCCTCCCTTATGTCTACCAAAAGAATTATGCAGATAATAAACACATCATAGTGAAATGACAAGGAAAGCAAAAGAAAATATTTGTAAAGCAAGCATTCCCAAATGCATGAAGTAAACAATCTGAAGATATTGGATACAAAATGTTCCTTTTCTTAACCAACACATATGATGGCAGAAAATCAAATTGAAAATATTGCAAAGATTATCTAAGCATACTTTGTATTGTAAATAACCAAATTCCAATTAGTTTTACAGAAGAATTAGGTCATTAGGTCACTTTTGACTTGGCTTTTTTTTTTTTTTCTCTCTCTCTCTCTTCACACATTGCTACTCTATCAAAATTTATTCTGATTCAGTTTAATCACTAATCAGTTCAACTACTTTAACATTTTCTGCTATTTGAATTGTTCCAGAGCAAACAGTTTTATTTTTTAATTCAGCACAGTGATCCATAAATGAAGCAATGAAGTAAGTTGGCCCTAGGGAATTCAATAATTTTGTTTATCATAGCATTTCCCCCCACTGTACATCAAAAACTGCCTAACAGAACAAATTACTTTAAATGGTAAAGTTCTTCCAAGTTGTAAATCTTAAATCACCTTAAAAAACACACTGTAAAACAAGCAGAGTATTTAACAAAACTACTTATTAGATTTAACAGGACATGAAAGGAACTGTTGAAGTATTATATACTTTTTTAATCACAAGTCTATGGTCTTTAATATACAACATAAAGGTTGTTTAAGCTCAAAGAAAATTATCCTACAGGTGACAGTAAAATGCAAAAGAAAGCATAAAACCATCACACACTTGGAACATTATTTTCTGTCAATAAAAATAATAGAACTTATTATGAAGAAAATTAGAGCCTAAATTTCTGAGCACAAAAAGTAAAATGAAGCAGAACAAAAACGATGCACTGAGAAACCAGTGCATCAATGGAAAAGATCAGTCTGATTTGACTGCAATATAAAATTGCAATAAATAATAAAAAATATTGGTTTTAATTATATTACATTCCAAAACAAATCTTGTTCAGTACAATACAGTTAAGTAATATTGAAATCTTTTTCAGTTTAAATAAATGTCAGTATTTGTAACAAAACAACAACAAAAAAGTGAATTCTACTTGCTCTATTAATGAATTAGAATTTGTACTGAAAGCTACAATGATTGATTTTCTGCAGAATAAAAACAAAACTTCTATTATATATGTCTACCTAAACTTGCAATTTCATTTGCAAGTATTCATCAATGCTTCAAAATGCTTATGATAACTACAGAACATATTTACGGCTGCCGGGATGATTTTTTTTTTTTTTTTTTTTGATAAATTTATATCTACAGGCATTACTAGTACAGTATTATCAAAATACCCAATATCGTGTTACCAGTGACCTATTGACATTTTAACAATCTACAGCGTCTGCCATATAGCACCTCCTGCATTAGGTTCTTGGAGTCTTTGGGAACTGCTCTAAGATGAATAACCAATGACTATCATAACAATACCGTAGTTTGGTCACAGCTATCTTAAGCAGAATGAAATGAATGAATTTTTCATCAGTAAGAAACAAGATGTGAAAGGAAGGGAAGGTATGATTAAGATGGCTGGAAACTGGAGCTTAAAAAGCTACCCTATGCTGCAGGAATAAATATGATTTATCCCTGCAGAAGGGTACAGGATTTGGCAACCTATCAGTCAGTGTAGGTCTGTACAAAATGAAAGAAAGATGTTCTGAAGAATAATGTGGGGGGTGTACAAGAGAATGTTTTTCATATAAAGGATAACTTTTCTTTTTCAGCTGAAAAATGCATTTTCCACTTTGCTAACTTTTTAGAAGTGTGTAGTTGCCTGCTTCCCAGCACCATTCATCCAAGACAAAATTGGGATGTTTATGTAGATCCATCATCCAACAAACTGTTGGATGCTTGTTGTAGCGCAAGAAACACATTTTTGTACTCCCTTGACCATTTCACATTCTTGTAGCATTAATTTACCTTTTTTTCGGGGCATATATAAAATTAAGCCCTCCAGTCTTGCAAGTAAATCACCACTGAGTTCTCCCTGCGCCCAGAACTCTTGCTAGCCAAGTAGTGACATTATCTAGTTATTTATAAGCTATTCCTCATCTCCTGTACACACACACACACAATTGTTACTTATAGCTGCCTAAACTTCCATGACAGTCGAACTTATGATGATTATTATGTAGCTTAATGATAACCTACAGATTATCATTATCAGCAACAGCTGAGTTATTAGCTCAGCTAATAACTCATATTGTTATTCTCTCTTCAAATTCCCAGCTCAAAAGAATATATAAGCATACAAATAAATGCAGATTATCAAGTACTGGAAAAACCTTCATAAATTGAAATTAGAATTCAGGTATTAATTTGAAAGCATCTTCTGCGTATTTTAAACCTGATCCACACAACAATACGTTACTGGAAAGCTCGCCTTCCCTTCATACAGTCTTTCAAGGATGTCCTGTCAATTTTTGGAGTACTATTTTGCATTCTAGATGCATGCAAACAATGCCATGCTAGTATGCTGAAGAGTAGTTCTGGAATTAAAAATAATTTTAACACACAAAGAAGTGGTTTGAAGAAAACCATAATATAATATAGAAAGAAAAAAAAAGAGAGAGAACTGCAGCACACATAGCCACTGAAGGGAATAATCAGTAGTATGGCAATTCTCCAGGAAAAAGATCTGAGAAGCATGGCAGATCATAACTGATCATGAGTCAACAACTTTGTATTAGAATATATAAACAGAAATGTCATAAGTAATAAAAACAGTTATCATTGTGCTCTAGAGGGTGCTGGTAGAATAATGGTGCGCTGTGTTCAATTTGAGAAGGATGCTGTCTCTATGTCACTGCTACTACAATCTGGAGCAGCATATTCAGCATTCATTTTCTAGGTTTATCTACATTAGTTTTATTCTTATCTCACTGGATCCTCAAAGAGGAAGGGCTCCTCTTCTTTCTTTAGTTTCTTTTCACGTCTACAGCTTAGGAATCTTTGGCTGTATCTTTCAAGTTCAGCTAGTTGAGCTGCACTACACAGCTTGACTGTTCACAGCTGTCCATCAAATGCTGATTTCTAAAACTAGCCTTCCTGGCTGATGTACCTCTTTTCCATTCTTTCATGAGCTCCATTTATCCACCTAGATTCAGTTCAAAGAGATTCAATAAACAAACACTTAGTTCTGAAACCCTCCCTTGTAAGTTTATTTTGCCTCTCCTCCACTTTTCTTGAAATACATGTTTTTGCAGAGTTTTTGCATGTCCAATTCTGGCCAAATAAGGGCCTTGCCTATTTACTATTCAAGTCTTGTATTGCATCTGTACAACTACATTCACGATTAAGTAATTTTTTTAATTTCTCAAGGTTTTGTCTTGTATCTGCCACTGGAATGGGACACCGTATTCACTCCATCTTTTAGTGTCCTTGAATAGAATCACTTCACCAAATGAACGGTCTTGATTGACTCTGTTCTTTTATATATATATATATGTATATATATATATAAATAAAAATATATGTATATATTTTATATACATATAATATATATGTATTTATATGTGTGTATATAAAATATATGTCTATATATATCTATATTTTATATACATATAAAATAAAATTATATGTATATAAAATTAGAAGTATGTATTAACCTTTTCATAGAAATATACCACTGTCAATGGGTAAAAGAAGAGCAAAAATCAGCCTCCAAACTCTTACTAAAATACCTGCTATTGCAATAAAACAAATAGGTGATTGGGCAAATACCCAAAAATATTGATACACTGTAATTTGGAATATATGAGGAGTTTTTCTGCTGTCTTCTGATTTTTTTTCTCTTTGCATGCAGTTTTGTTTTACGAGTGACTTCCAGGAGTATGCTTTTTGCACCTGTTATGTGACTTTAGACAGCAAAGAAAAGAAAGGCAAGAAAAGGTATTTTCTGAAATAATACAGAAACCTCAGCCTTAGTCCCATGAGATTCAGAGATCTGAAGCAT